ATTTCTAAGCTATTTGACTTCGGGACTTTTTCAGGCATACAATTGCATACTATCCCGGAAAACCAATGTTCTGTGAAACACACTTAGGGAAGCACTGCCTGCCCCGTTAGAGAAAGTGCAAGAATTTCATGCTATCTTAGGGAACCTCAATGTTACTCAAACAACATATTTAGGGCTAGCCCTGCCAAAATATTTGTTAGTATTTCTATTCTAAAAGGTCTAAGAAATCTAGAATCATTAAATGTGTTATTGTTATCAGCAGCTCCAGACTCACAGTAACTTTATGCACAAACTGAACAAAATGCTTCTAGAACTTGCATCATTATCACTAGTAGCTTCAGCTCAAACTGCTACGAGCCATAATATTTCCAGGGATTGATTTTTGAAGTATATCACCAATCCTTCTCCCTAGTACAATTTAAGTCTGGAAGCTCTGCAAAAACCTACTCCGCGTCACAGTAATAATAGTAGCAAGAAACAGCTTCATAGTTTCACACCATCCATGAAATATCATTTCCTTGATCATGTACTATTTACATGTTCCCCATCAATCTAATGTCTCGTATTCCTAGGGTATAAAATCCATGGAGTCTGGAGGCTCTATACTACTGACAGTTGATATCAACTGTGTCCATCATCTCTCAGGACCTCAGAATATTAATGATGTTTTAGCCATGTTGGTTTTGGTGCTGTCAGGTTGACTATGATTCAGAGGAGCCCTGTGGATAACAGACCAGAACCCTGTCCTAAACTGTGGCATCTACAGTGAAAACAAAAGTCATGAAACTGTTTAAGCCATAATTTCATAAATGTAGGTTGAGAATAATAAAGAGCACATCAGTGGTGGGTGGCTGGTGATAACACTGGATATAATTGGAAATAAAGACTAACAAGATTCCCTAGAAGACACACTAGCAACCTGTCTTCAGCTTCTTTGGCCTTAGCAATTAGCAGCATTAGGAAGGTTATAGGTAATATCAGAAAAAAAATTTAGATATGTTTAATTCCAGACATCTATTTTCATCCAACTGGAAAGGTTACACAGGCAGATTATCTATCAGTCTAGAGAGAACTTCTGGTGATATATTCTTGTACTTTTGTATTTCTTCTTTGAGTTTTCTCTCAGCATATCTCTACAAATTTTTTGCAGAGGAAGAACACACATATAACAATTATATGGAAGACACTTAAATACAAAGGCCTTTAAAATATAAAGACTTTTTAAATATGGAAGGCTTTTTAATACAAAGGCTCTCCACAAGGTCTTGTTAACTTTAAACAAGAGGAAATCAGAAAGATGAGCAACCACTTCCTGTGCTATTGACAGCTTTACAAAAACTCACTGGAGGGTCAGCTATGAGCTGGTTCTGATCCCAAGGCTGTGAGTGAGTGATATGATTGGGCAAGTAAGTGATGTGGAGAATACTGCCAAGTAATGGCCAAAATCAGCATCACCTGAAAGTCTATAGCATGATTCGGTTCTAGTCTCACATCCTATGCCCAGAAAATTAGGGAATAAAGATGGTTAAGGAAGTTATGCCAGATGTACAGAAGTGAAAAAAAAAAATGGTAACAAACTAAATAGCACTAAAATTCCTTTCTCTTTTCAAAATGAATAGACACCAGTTAACTGTGTCTTGGATTAAAACTGCATCTTGGATTAAAAACTTAGAACATTTCCTTTTTTCAGAATACATGCCACAACCACAAAGCAGCAAGTTAAGCACAAAATACCCCGAATTTTCTCCTGTGTGCTAAAATTAAACAGTAGTTCGCTATAACTGAAGATGAAATGGGAGGAGGTGTTACTTTCTTGGCAGAAGTGTTGCAGGCAGTGGTGCTATCTGTGGCTCGAGAGCCTTGGCCTCAGATCAAGGTAATCCTTTTCCAGGGCCTGACTTTACCATCACACTTTTTTTTATTATTATGAGTGATCTCAAACATTACTGAAACAACCTACTTCCTATTTTATCCTGCTAAATTCTGCTGGTGAACATCAATATTATTGTTAATGCTTATGTGAGTTTATATGGATAGGTGAAACGGCAACAGTGACTTTTAAAAAAGGAAAGCGCTAGTCAATTTTTGTTTTTATTTCTAAAGAAGTGTTAAATAGCATCTTGCTACATTAAATAACCATATTTCATGACATAGGGTATGAGTTGTGCTTGACTTGATGGCAATAAATAATAACAACTCTGAGAAAACAGAATAAACACCAGATTTTCTTAGGCATCCATGAATAAATCCCTAAAGCATGAACACAAGGAGATGGAAAAAAGTAAAACAATTAGAGAACAAGCAGGGGTGGCATTCACTTCCTAAACCACACGCCTCTGGAAACTATGAACTTTGAGAAAAAATGACAGTTCTAGAAAGGCTTCAGGTCTTTTGTTTAGAGGGTCACTGTGAGCCATGCTAGACTGGATGGCAATCAACAACAACTGTGAAAAACGGAGGAAAGAGATCATCACAAAAATATGCTTCTTAAGAAATATATAAATAAGCTCATATAAAATGTACATTTTAGGAGTGATAATCTAAGTCCTCTAAAATTATATGCAGCTTTAGTTTGCTTGGCTCCACAGTCAACACTCTTGGCACCAGCTGCCAGGAAATTAAAAGACGTATTGCAATGGGAAAGTCTGCTGTTAGGCACCTCTCCAAAGTACTGAAGAGCAATGGTGTCTCTCTGGAGACTAAGGTACGTCTGATACAGACCATGGTCTTTGCTATCCCTTGTTATGCATCAGAGAGTTGGACAATGATTAAGGAGAATAAAATGAGAATTGATGCTTTTGAGCTGTGGTGGTGGAGAAGAGTATTGAGGGTAACATGGAGTGCTAGGAAAACAGATTCATCCTGGAGAGCTTAAACTGGGCGGCTCCCTGGAGGCAAGGATTCTGGGGCTTCGTCTGACATACTTTGGACATGTTGTAAGGAGGGACCGGTCTTGGAGAAGGACATCACGCTTGGTAGGGTGGAGGGACGGTGCAGGAGGGGAAGGCCCTCTATGAGGTGGATTGATTCAGTGACTGGGGTAATTGGGATGGGTGTGTCAGAGACAGTGCGATTGGCACAGGACAGAGCAGAGTTTAGGGCTGTTGTACATAGGGTCGCTATGAGTCACAAGTGACTCGGCAGCACAGGCATATAACAACAGCAACAGCATTTTCAAAATACACATAACTACATCTCATCATTCACTAAAAGGACAATTGTTATGTGCTGTTGAGCCAAACTGATTCATAGCTGAACCTACACACACTCGGTTTCTAGGGACTGTTGATTACTTGGGAGTAGTTTATCCATCTCCTGAGGAGTAGGTGGTGGATTTGAACTGCCTTCCTTTGGATAGCAGCATAACTCTTGACCCACTAAGCCATTTGCCCAGGGGAAACACTTGAAAGTCACTTATACATAAAAGAAGTTTTCTTTTCCCCTAAAGCCCAGAAATGTAAAGGCTCATTTTCACTTGGTAAAAAGTTTCAATATGAAAGAAATAATGCTTAGTTCTGCCCTCGGGGAATGGGAGAAGGGAAAAGAAGTAAGCACTGTAGAAAGTAGAAGAAAAGATACAAGAGGAAATGGGAAAGGAGTTAAGAAAGAGAATTGTGAAACTAATGTGTCTAATGGATACATAAATGTAAGGAGCAAAAGTGTTGTCAAAATGCAAACTTTAGTTTGATAAAAAGAGACTACTACTCTCTGTCTTCTAAATTTAATTTTCTTCCCATATATCCATAATGGGTACAACCCTTTAACCAGTCATCATTAAAATCTGGAAGTACTTGATTTAAATGTAGCTTCAGCCTTGATAATAATTACTCACTCATTGTTGTCAAGTCAGAATCGACTCATAGCTGATCTTCCATTAGGTCTCTGAGACTGTAAATTACTGGGGAGGAGACAGTGCCTCTCTCCCAAGGAGCCGCCGATGAATCCGAACCAGCAGAGAGGCACACCGACCACACCACCCAAGCACCCTAACTAATCACTAGCTTACAACAAATATAGAAGGTAAATTGTCCACCTTTTCTCCGGGCTTCAAATCACCACTTTACTTATTATCTACTGTGGATGCTCTTCTCACTTCTGAGCCTCTTAACCATAACACCCAGTGTGTATAACCCGCTCTGCTGACCAAATCACCAGTTCATGTAGGAGTTTCTCCCTATTAATTTCTTGCCCAAAGACTGTTTGGGGAACAATTTTCTCTGTTCTTATACAGAGTCCTAAACAAAGCTCTGGCACTGTACCTAACATAGTACTACAGTTATTGTTGTTCCCTGTAGACTGCAATATTTCCTGTTTCAGTCCTACAATTCAATAACTGAGTCTGACCCTTGTGCTCTTGCTAGTTGTCTTGAGCCAGTTCTGGCTCATGGCAACCCACGCATGCAGACCAGCACTCTCTACCAAGTTTTCAAGGCTGCTTTGGCAAGCAGACCATCAGGCCTGTCCTACAAGGCTCCTCTGGGTGGGTCTGAACTACCAACCTTTCAGATAGTAGTCAACGTTTCACTGATTGTGTTTTCATTTAAACTTAAGCATGTGAGGAGAATTCCCATACTGGATAGGAGCTCTGCTGCTATACAATTTCAGGATATTGTTTCCATTCTTACATACGTTCTTTCCTCTTTGCCAACTGACTGACTCCCTGTAAAGCTATTTACAGTCTTTTATTTATTTATAGGGAGTTCTCATGGCCAAGTGGTAAAGAACTGTGCTGACAGCCCAAAGGAGCATGGTTCAAATCCATCAGCTGCTCCACCAGATTAAAAAGAACAGCCAACTCCTGTGTGATTCACTCACTGCCTCTGAAAACCTGTTGGAAGGTCAGATACGAGTCGGTTCTGACTAGAGAGTACATAACAACACAGACTTTGTATTTTGCACAGATAATTCTCCCGCAAGTTTCTTATTCAAGGCATGACCTGTGGTTGAAATAACATCATAAAAAAGCCTATTAAAAGGGTCAAGATATTTAAATGACTTACTGAACACATCTCCTCTGGGTTTCTGAGGATCGGTCTGTATCCTGTTGTCCACTGTTATCACACTTGGCGATGTACTGGTAGCCGGTGCCATAGTTGTCAATCTGGTGGTGGGCCTTGGTGGGACTGGTGGTGGTGGAGGGGTTCTAAACACTGTAGATGGTGGCAGCGGGAGGGGAAAGGTAGGCTGTGGTGTGGGCCTTGGTGTGGGTCTTGTAGTTGGCTTAAAAGTGGGCCTGTTGGTAATGACAGGAGGAATATACGGTGTCTTCAACGGCCATCTAGTACTTCCAACATCAGGAATCCAATTACTGTGGCCTCCGTCACCCTTCACAATGGTACCATTTCCCTTTGGCACGTGAATCGGACCTGAAGGTTCAATCATGACCTTTGGAATATCTGAAAGAGTCAAAAGATTTAAATCATATTTATAACATCCTAGGAAATGAAAATAACAAACTAAAAACCAAACACTTAAAAACATCTTGTGCCAGTCGGGCTGCTTTTCACATTCAGAATATTTCCCCACTATTCAAACCCAACTAAAACTCATGGCCGTCTAGATGGGATAGTCTCACAGCTGACCTGCCATTGAGTTCTTACAGGCTGTAAGTGGAGCAGGAGGACAATGTCCATCTTTCTCCTGCACAACAGGTATTAGATTCAAATGGTTAGAGGGGTGTCACCTTTGGGTTAGACTTGTAATTCCTTATGGACTACATTATCAGAGTGCCCTCTCTTCCTATAAATATAAATTCCAAATAACAAAACACGTCAGTGTTTATTTATCATATATATTCACAGATACATCTATTACATATATCCAAAATAAATTAGTATTTCTACAAAGAGTTTTATGTATTTATAAGGTAAAAACCTATATCAGAGTGGGAAAAGAAAGGAGTTATTTGAAAGATTATTATGAAGGGGAAAAAAGTTTTAAAAAAATCAACCAATAGTCAATGATATTTTTTAAAATACCCAGTAGGGCAGGGACACTAAAATTTTGGTGTGGTGTTTAGTTTTTTTTTTTTTAACATGAAAACTGCAAATAATCTGTTATATATCCTGGTGGTGGCTATATATTATTGTGTTGCTTGACATAGCCAAAAATGACTTTTTTCTTATTTACATTTTACATAAATACCACTCATGTAAGAACACTGTAACTAAAATTCTATTATTTTATAACTAGTCTTTTTTTCTCCTTATTAATTTATACAATTGCTTTTTAAAAATAAATATATAGAGGTCACCATGAGGGACTGTGGAACCTCTCCTTGATAATCTTTGCCAAAGAGAAGCAATGTTTAATCTGCCTGGAATTATTTACTCTAGACCAAGACTGGCTGCAGGATCCTTCATATCCCTTTAATCCTTATGGGTCTTTGCCCTGTGATTTTCAATAAATATTTTGTGCAGGACATTATAAAGATTGTCTATTGCTACACAAAATAAATACTTAATTATTTCCTTTAGTTTGGATATACTGTATATGTTTATCTACTAACATAGCCATTACTACAACTATAGCTTTAAAAAATTTTAAAAGCAGAGAAATATTTTCTTCAGAGCAGGATAAAATAAAAACAAAACAAACAACAAAAATGTAGAACATGTTCATATTAAGACAACACCCATAACCTAATGCCAACAGTAAACTAATGTTTCTTTCTTACTTCAGCAAAATAAAATTCTCAGGAAGAGGTCTATTCTTTCTTCCTAAGGAAAGGAAAGATAGGGAGAGATTTTCATCAAAGATATTTGAATGCCTTTAGTAGTAAAATGTATGACTAAAGTTTTTTTTCCCCAAAAAAATACCTGAGCAAGTGATTTAATTGTTTGTGGAAAGCATGATTAGTATCACAATGAAGGTTATACTCTTGACAAATAACCTTGTTTCTTATCTTCCTTCAAAATGGCCTTTGAGTAATCCTGATTTCCTGCTGCAATGTGGAGTTTGGAGAGAAGTATTACTCACACACACAACTCTGTCCATCGCCCTCATATCCGTCTTTACATTTACACTTGTAGGACCCGTGTATGTTGTAACATCGGGCAAAGCTGCTACATTGATATTGACCAAGGGAGCATTCATCTATATCTGCATCAGAAAGTAGGGAAAAAAATTTATATAAATATAATTATCTTAAAATAGTTCTTGAAATAGTTTTTCTTTCCTCCACACCCACAAAGTGATGTTATGTCCTACTGAGCTGGAATCTACTCATAGCTGACCCTTCAGGTTCTTAGAGGCTGTGCCTCAATCACCCAGACAGAGACTGGTCATCTCTCTGCTGTGGAGCAGCTGGTAGAGTCGAACAGTGTGCCTTTGGATGGGCAGTGTAACTCCTTACCACTAGGCCACCAGAGCTCTCTTTGCAATGTGAAGGCCCACGTAAATCTGAATACAGAACTATGAACAGCTGAACTGGATTTCTGTTTGTTTCATTTAAAGACAGCACTCTCCTCAGTCAATGACATCCCAGCCTCTATTACAGCTAAGGCATTAAAAGAAGCCCTATAGGAAGAAACAACACTGAGCAAGGACGGGGTTTTATTACCATGACACTGGTATTTGCCTCCAATATACATGAGGTCGAAGCCTTTATGACACTTGCAGACATAACTTCCAAAAGTGTTGACACATTGCCTGAATCTCGGGCAGGAGGCTCTTCCAGTAGCACATTCGTCAATATCTAGAAATTGAAGGCAATTAAACCTTAATAAGAATAGTAGTACATTCAAATGACTGACTTTTCAAAGAAGTCAATAACCATTTGTTAAGGATTTTCTGACACATAAAAAACTCATCATAAGTGCTATCTATCCAGTTAGTATCCTTCCCCTTTAAATACAATTTAAAGTCTACATTTGCAAAATTCATTTCATCCTCTGAATCTATGCTTGTCTTCTCTTGCATCCAGTCTCAGCATATGATGCACTTACATTACCTAGTTGTCTGGACTATAAACACAAGTCATCTTTGACAAAACTCTTTCTCTTAATTCTCTTCCTTCACTCTGCCTCATTAAAATTCTTTTAATCCACTTATTCTCCTTTTCTAAATGAAGAAAAGATTAAAAGTTGTCATGAATTTAATTTTACTTGGATCCATAATCAGCATCCATGGAAGCAGCAGTCAAGAAAGCAAAAAGCATATGTCACTGAACAAATCTACTGCCAAGAAACTCTGTAGAGTGGCCTAAGGTGTATGTTGCATAAGTCACGGCATTTCTCAATTGCTTTCTGTGCATATGAAAGTTGTACAAGAATAAGGAAGCCCCCTGCAACCAGGAGAAGATAAAGTAGATGAATGGGATCTTCTAAGAATCAAATCCCTATGCACATCCAAAAACTTCACCAACAGGGTAAAAAGGGAAGCCACCGACTGGGGAAAAGTATTTGGTAATGACGTATTAGATAAGGGACTTATATTCAGAATTTATAAAATCCTTGAGCACCACAACAAGATAAAGCTAAATAATCCATAGAAAAATGGGCACAGGATATGAACAGACACTTCCCCAAAGAAGACATCCAGATGGCTAACAAGCACATGAAGAAATGTTCAAAATCCCTAGCTCTAAGAGAAATGCAAATTAAAACAACTATGAGATATCATCTCACCCCAGTAAGAACAGCAAAATTTAACAAGCAACAAATGCTGGCGAGGTTGTGGAGAAACTGGAACTCTTACTCACTGTTGGTGGGAGTGTAAAATAGTGCAATCATTGTGGAAGGCGGTAGGACACACTGACAAAGGAAATTAATCAGAACTGGCTTTGACAAGCACTGTGGCAACTGGACAATTAAAACAGACTTTCAAGGGGGGGGTAAAAAAAGAAGAACGAACTGGGGAGGAGGGTAGAGAAAATAGTGCAACAATGAATGAATTAAAACCTCAAATCTCTGTAAATGTTCATTAAAATTAATAAAACTTAATAATAATAATAAAGTTACAAATGGAGACACCATTTGACCCAGCAATTCCACTACTGGGAATATACCCCAAAGAGACCATAACTGCCATCCAAGCAGATATATACACACAACCATGTTTACTGCGGCTTTGTTCACAATAGCTAGGAAACAACCTAAGTGCCCATCAACAAACGAATGGATAGAGAAGCTGTGGTATATTCACACAATGGAATACTGTGCTGAATTGCAAAACAAGGAACTCATTCAATATTATTCAAAATGGGTGAGTCTGGAGGACATATGCTGAGTGAAGTCTGGAGGACATTATACTAAGTGAAGTATCTCAGACACAAAAGGACAATTACTGCATGGTGCCACTATTGTAAAACAGGACTGACCGTGGGGTTGGGGAAAGATTGAGAAAGATGGGTTCAATAATGTATACTGCATTGAAACAGATGAGGGAGAAAACTGTTTAAAAGGGATATGTGATTAGGTATTTTTGTCATGACGGGAGTCTAGAGCAAAGGCTACATGGTGGAGTGGACCTGGAGGGAGGGTTTGTAAAACAATGAAAGAATCTTTCTTTTACTTTTCTAAAAGGGTAGTGTACTAGGGGAGAGGGTTGGGAGGGAAGAAAAGTGCAACAATGAATAAATGGAAATCCAAAGTCCCTGTAAATTTTTACTGACATGAATAATAAATTTTAAAAAATTAAAATAAAAATAAGGAGGCCCAAAGTAGGACAAAGTAGGAAAAGCTTAAAAGGCTTATTGTTATCGTTAAGTGCCGTCGAGTCATAGGAACCCTATGAAGGAGAGTCCTCAATGCTTGTTAAAAGTCACAGCTCATGATAAAAGGGCTGACAAATACAGACAGAAATACAAAACCAGGACAAGATAAAATTGATGAATGAGACTTTCTAAAGATTAAATTTCTGTGCCCATCAAAAACATTTTCCAACAGAATGAAGAGAAAACCTACTAATAGGGGAAAAACATTTGGCAAAACTATCTCAGACAAGGGTCTCATAACAAAAGTTTTAGAACCTCCACAAGAAAAAGACTGATAACACTATTACAAAATGGCAAAAGACACGGAAAGACCTTCCAGAGAGAAAATATTTGGATGGCCAACAAACATAAAGAAATGCTCAAAACTTCTGGAAATAAGAGAGATGAAAATCAAAACCACAATGAGATACTGTCTCACTCCAGTAGCAATGGCAAAGTTTACAGGACAGCAAATAATGAATGTTGTAGAGAATGTAGAGATATAGGAACTCTTATACACTGTTGGTGGGATTGTAAAATGGTACAAACACTCTGGAAGGCAGTTTGACATTTCCTCAAAAAGCTGATCATAGAAATTCTATATGACCCAGCTATTCCACTGCTTGGAATATATCCTGAGAAAATTAGAACTGACACAGAAATGGAAATTTGTACACCAATGTTCACAGCAGCATTATTCACAATCACAACATGGAAAAGCCCAAATGTCCAACCACAATGGAATAGATTGAGGAATTACAATACATTCACATGATGGAATACTACACAGCATGAAGTAGCAATGATTTAGAAAATTACTACATAACTTGCAAGCAAATAGAAAGTATTATGTTAAGTGAACTAAGTCAATCCCATAAGTACAAATACTATGTAAGACCATTATTGTAGAAATAGAAAGCTAACCAGTAAAACAGTCATGAGATTCAAGGGGGGGAGGGTAAAAGGACATGGGGGAGGATTAACAGGGAGGTAATTACAGAGTCACCTAATTTGATGGGTGGGTAAAGGAAATGGGAAAGATCTGGTTTGATTTGTAAGCAAATCAATATAAAATAAAAATTTATTTAAAGAAAAACCAGACACACAAAAATGGACTTATAAAACACTACACAATATTGTTGAGCCTGGAATAGATTATGCTGAGTGAAAGATCTCAGTCACAAAAGGACAAATATTGCATCACAACCCTGTTATAAGACTAATAGGGGTGGTTGGGAAAAAACAGGAAAAGAGTGTATAGATAATGAACACTGCACTGCAACAGATGAGATGAAGGACAATCTGAAGGGAATGTATGATTGAGCATTATATATGGAACAATTGACAATTTGGAACAAAAGATGCACTATAAAGCAGACTGGGTAAGGGGGGAAAGGATGGGAAGGGAGGAAAATTTGCAACAATGAATGAATGAAAACCCATCTTTCTGTAAACTTAAGTTAGAATCACAATTTTTAAAAAATAAAAAGAGGGAGAGGAAAGAATAAGGAAGCCCAAAGATTAATTGTGATGTTGGCAAAGAACACTTCATCTCACATACCTGAAGCATGTCAGGAGAGTCTAGGCTTGTAAAATAACATCATGCTCAGTGGATGAAGAGACAAACTTAAACACAATTGGCATAAGTGACTACAATCATGGGCTTGGGCACAGCAGTGAATATGAGGGTAGCACAGGTTTGGGCAGGGTTTCATTTTATTGTGCAGAAGGTTGCTAAGAGTTGGAGCCAACTTGATGGCACTGAGCAAGAACTCTCCTCTTCACCCACCATCAGTACCCTGACCTGGGCCGCCATATCTCTGGCTGCATTTTGCATTCATGAACTCACTCGCTGTTGAGTCAGAAATGACTCCCATCTGAGGGGTTTGGAGGCTGTAAATCACACTGGATGGGACTGTCTTTTTGCCAAAAAGCCACTAATGAATTTGAACCCTTTGAGTTGTTATCCATACAACTCCCTACTGACTGACTATGTCACCAGAGCTCCCTTTGTCAAGAGTCTCCAATATGTCTCTCTGATGCCAATTTTACTCCTGTCAAGTGTTCCCTGACCCAACTATCAAAATGACCTTGTTGAAACATAAGACTAGGAAATCAGAACCATACTTTCCACCGGCCTTAGAAATAAAATCCACATTTCACGTTATGTCCTTAAAAGAGCTTGCAATGTGGCTCCTTTCCACCTCCCCTCTTGTCACCACGCCTAATACTCACACTGCAATTCAGCCATATTTGTCATTTTTTATAATCTTCCAAAGCCAAGCTCTACCACAGCAGTGCCCAGCTGGACTGGTGATTCACACGGCTTATCCTCTATATCTCACTTGAAGGCTTTTTCTTCCCCCTGCTTTCTAAAGTAAACCTTTTCGTTTTCCCCTCTTTTAGTGTCTCATTAACCTTTAACTAAATTTGAAATTTTATCAAGTTTTTGTTTCTTTTCTGTCTTTCCTATTAGACTATCAACCTTTTTGAAAACTAAAATCTTGGATGCTTTTTTTTATCACTGTTCTGTCCCAGCATAGAACAGTACTGAAAAAACATCCGTGAGATGGCCAAATACTTCCACTTACTGAGTGTGTACAACATGCTAGGTAGTATGCATATGTAATTTAATTGAGTCCTTATATTTGTTTTGACCAGGTTGTTGTTGTAAGGTGTCAATGAGTTGAGTATGATTCACAGCAACTTTAAGAAACAATAGCTCTAAACCCTGTCCTGTCCTGGGTCATCCTCATCATCTCTGACACACTTGATTCCATGGCTGCAGCCACTGTGTCAGTTCACTTTGTTGGGGGTCTTCCTCTCTTTTGCTGTCTCTCCATCTCTCTGAGCATGAAGTCCCTTTCCAAGAAACAGCCTCTCCTAGCAACAAACTGAAAGTATGTGAGATGAAGCTTCAACTTCCTTGCTTCTAAGGAATACTCTGGTTCCACTTTTCCCAGGACATATTTGTCCTTTTTGCAGTCCATGGGATATTAAGTATTCTTCTCCAACATCACAACTCAAAGGCATCAATTCTTTCGCCATCCTTACTCACTGTCCAACTCTCAGATGAAAAGTAATTGAAAAGATCATGGCTTTAATGGAGCACACCTTAGTTTTTAAACTGGCATCATTGCTCCTTAGTACTTTGGAGAGGGCTTTGAGAGCAGATTTCATGTGTCATGATATTCATTTATGTGGCACTACTCTTATTTTAAAAATTAAGAGACTCAGAGAAGGCAAATCTTAATCAGAAAAAGATTAGAATTCATGCCCCTAAGTTGATTCTGATCCTACTGGACAGAGTAGAAATGCTCCATAGGATTTTTTTTTATTCAGATCTTAATGAAAGTTTATAAAAAAACTTGGATTTTCATTCATTCATTGTTGCATATTTTCCTCCCTGTCCCTCACCCCAGTTTGCTTTTTTTTTAAAGGGGAAAAAAAAAGTTCTTTCGTTGTTGTCCAGTTCCCTCCCACCCCCATCCAGACCACTTTACTATGTAGTTCTAATATATTCTGGACTCCTGTCATGCCAATAACACCTAATCAGATATTCCTTTTATACAATTCTCTCCCTTCTCTGTTCCAATGCCATGTCCATTATTTATCCCCTCTTTTCTTAGTTTCCTCCCAAACCCCAGAGCATTTTTAAGCTGTAATCTTCAAGAAAGGAGAAAGTAACTTTCTATCATGGAACTAAGTAAGCAGTTACTAAAGTCAAATTCCTGATCTTTCGGTTAGCAATCGAGTTATATAACCACTGTGTCACTGGGCCTCCACTGTCTCAGATTACATATCTAGAAAACACTAGTTTGAAACCAAAGCCCAGACTCTTAACCAATGTTCCATCAATTAATTGGGCAGGGTGTGTGTGTGTGTAAAGGAGAAAATCTTGTAGCATAACTGATTTATCTGTTTAGCTTCAACCCTCACCTACCTTTTTACCATTTACATTATATACATACATTATATATTGGGCTCTCTGTGTTTCCCTGAACATTGTCCTCCCTTAAACTTCAGTGCATTTGCACACATGACCGTTCTGCCCGAAGTTCCTTCCTGTCAATCACCTTTAGGGAACAAGGTTTCCATGGCTCACTAACAGACAGAGGTCCTCTTCTGAAACAGAACCTTCTAAAAGATTCTCCAACTACCTGATGCAGATAACTCTGCTTTCCCCTATTCATAACCATTTTCTTTCTTCCTTTATCTTTGAGTGGCTACTGATTGAAATGTTAATTTTACAACTTACCCACACAGGTCCTCCCATCAGGAGCCAGCTGGAGGCCAGGCGAGGGACACTGGCACCGGATCTGTCCTTTGACAACATCACAACCATATTGACAATTTGCCATGGAGCATGTCAGGGCACCTGGATGGAGGCAGAGAATCTGGCTGATACGGAGCAGAGAACAGATTCAGCAACTGAAGTAACTATATTCTTCTCTTTTCCTGAAACTAGCGAAACTGAATCAACAATGAAGACAAAGAGATCTCAAGTATCCAACATTCTAAAGAGAGTAAATTTAAAAGAGAGAGAGAGAGAGACAGAGAGAAACACTGCCAGGGATAATTAAGAAGTAGACCAGCTTCCATTATTCTCCAGAGGAAATCTTTCCTATTTTTAAGAATTAAAAAGAGAAAGGTAAAACCTCATCCTGTGTAGATTATCTGAAAAATTTTCCAGTGGTCAGGGAAAATGGAGAATTGAGGTATTTTTCCAGTTTACTCAAGCTAAGCACCGTTCTAAACAAAACATCCAAGTAATGTCTCAATTGCCCATTAAAGTTTTTCAGAAGAGGAGGCGATTCCTCATAGAGCTGCACAAAATTGGAAGCTCCTAGCATCGGTAGCACGTTATTCAAGTTCTCCGCTCTGTTCATGCAATGCCAAATAATTCTACCCAATCTTTTTTATGCCATAAAATGCAGTTTTAAACTGATAATTTAGTGATAGTAAAAACTGAAATTGATAAAGAAAATTTCAATTCAAGGTTCAGCCTGCAGATAATTATCAGGCATTATTTACCTCATACTTAGATAATAGGACACATATAAAAACCTACAGTCTTTTTTTTAAATATAAGTTAGGTGAATTTGGTTTATATATTTGGGGTTTTCCCCCTAAAAAGTAAAATAAACAATATTTAGTCTACTAAAAACACATACTCATTGCCACTGACTCATGGCTGATGCTCTAATGGGTTTCAGAGACTAAATCACAGCAAGAAACTGCTCATCTTTCTTCCAAGAAGTTGCTGGTGGACTCAACTTGCCTATCTTTGAGTGCCAGGAAAACTCCTTGCCTACTAGGCCATCAGCGCTCATGTGAAAAATTATTTATAAATGGTTTACAATATTCAATGAATCTAACAGATCTTTCTGTGACAAATAGAGTGTGCATTCTTATAAGTAACACAGCAGTCCTCAAATGGTAATGTTCTTTTAGTCTGGAAAATTTTTTCCCTGTCCAGGTAAAAGACAGGAAATTATGACGGGTTATTCTTAGCCTAAATTAAGTTAATGTTCTCACCCATGACAAATGAATGTTATACATCTAAAATCTCTAACTTTGAATTCTTTGAGCCCATGTATAAACAAACACACAGCCTGTTTAGGAGACCTGGGAGGCCACTTTTACAAGTCAGGCTACTAGAGCACAACATGACAGCAAGCCCAAAGCACTTGTGTAACAGTTAAGATTCTTGACATACTTGAGCAGGACCCATCCGGCATGAGCATATATCCGTTGAGACAGTAGCACTTGTAGCTGCCGTAAGTGTTCATGCACCTGTGCTTACAGGGCCGTGGCTTCAGGCCACACTCATTTAGATCTGAAAAGAATGGGGTTGAAGTGGAAAAAAAATCACCAAACTGCAGTATGACTGTAACACATTCAAAATACGTCTCTACACTGAAGAATGAGTGAGAAAAGGAGGCGAAATTTTATCTGTCTAATCATATGAGAGATTATTTCTGTTACATGTATACAATGTCAATTGGTTTTACTGGAATGGACAAAGAGTTTTCTATCATTTGTGACCTAAAGTTTTACCGTGGTGAAGTCTCTTCAATTTCTGAAGCTTAAATTTTGTGTTAGATGTGGTCTCTCCCGCTGATGAAGAGAGGAGCATAGTCATCACGTCACGGGTGGGAATTGGCTGGATGATAATGAGTAGTTTTCATAGGGGCAGATCTCCAGGTCTTTCCCTGGAGAGCTACTACATGAGTTTGAACCACCAAACTTTGTTATTAGCTGAACACTTTATCATTGTGCTGCTAGCAAAGCTCTTACATGACTGACAACCTCCCTTGTATATCTGGGTTACTTTTACGTTTATTCCTGACAATGTGACTCTTTGAATTTCTTCCTATCTTCAAAGGTGCTATCACACGAGACTGACTGACTTTATAAAATGTGCACCAATTTAAAACATAAGCAAGCTTGTATCTTTCCAATGGAAGCTTTATTTGCAAGGAGTAAGAGCTACACAAGTTAGAGCAACTATTGTTGTTGTGTGCCACTGAGTTGCCTGTGACTCACAGTGACCCTAGGCACAACAGCTCTGAACTTTGCCCTATCCTGAGCCAGTCTCATTCTCTCAAACAAACCTACCCCCATTACCCTAGCTACTTTGTCAATCCTTCTCACACAGGATCTTCCTCTCCAGCAGTGTTCCTCCACCCTTCCAAGCTTGATGTTCCTTCTCCAGGGACTGGTCTCTCCTGGACATATGTCCAAAGTATGTGAGAAGGAGCTTCAAAATTCTTGCCTCCAGGGAGCAGCCTGGTTTCACCCTCTCCAATACAGAACTATTTATTCTCTTGGTATGTTACTGTGATTTTTATTCTTGTTTAATCCTATAGATGTTATTCTGATCTCAGAATAATTGAGGAAACTTTAGTTTCCTACTTTAATAACATATCCAAACTAAAAGTGAATCTAAAAAAAAATCTCTCCACATATTTTCCTTAATTCAGCAGTAAAGGAGGACATATGTAAATACGAATGAAAGGTTAAGAAACTCTGGTGTCATAGTGGCAAGAAGCTGTGCTGCAATCCCAAAGAAACACAGTTCGAGTCCAGCAGGTGCTCTGTGGGAGAAGTATGGACAGGTCTTATACTACTAACTGCCTCTTAAATCCCACCTGGAGGGTCATCTCTGGGTTGGTTCTGACCCTCCAGTACACAACAACAATGCAAGATTATGTATTTTGGGTTCATTGGTATGACTATCAGTGTTAAAGATGGATTGACACAGTGACTGTAACAACGAGCTCCAGCATTATCAGAGATCGTGAGAAAGGTGCAGAACAGGGCAGGATTTCATATTCATTATTCACTGAGCTTCTACAAGTTATAGTTGACACAACAGCATCTAACAACAACAACATGTGGAACACTGCCTCAAGTGCACAAAGACTGATGATGACAAACACTAAGATATTAAGGGGTCAACAGCGTTAACAAGAAATGTGACCACAGGTTTATAGAGTCTGCACCATTTGATTACCTTGATTGTCTTTTTTATCTATAGCACTGAGTCAGAAAAGTAGATTAAAAATACAAAACTGTAAAACTGTTTGACCATCTAGTAACATTTAAGTCTGACCTCAATTATAAATCTATATTTCATTTAAAAGAATCAATTAATATTGGTTTAAAATTACTGCATCTAATATGATTTCATATTCTACTGACTTTCTAACTTGATTTTCTTTTCCTACTTTTACCATAGCTGTAAGGAGATCTTCAGCTAGGCATAGCCTATAGGAGGCTATATAGTAGCCTATAGGATCTTTGTTATCTCTGATGTTTCTCTTCAATTCTCTACTGTTATACATACTGTCAGTCTACAGTTTTCACAGTAATCACTTGGAAAAACATTTTAGAAAAAAATTTTCTTATAGAAAGTACTCTGCAGATTATGCTACCAACAGAAATTTTATTTTTTCTTCTAGTAAGTGAAATTATTTGTAAACAAAGAGTGAGACATTCTTTCATGTTCCCAATTTCTTCTACATCAGATTTCAATACTTACTAAAATTAGAAACAGAGCATCTTTCTTTGTGTAAGACATAACACCTGTTGTTGATAAACTTCTGAATTGTTCGTGATAAACAGGATTTCAATCTGAGTGCATTGTTAGCGAAAGGCTTTGTATTCTACACAGGTTTTTTTTTCTGCACTAAACAAAGACAAAGCAATACAATAGAATAAGATATATATCTCATGAGAGGAGAGTGGTGGATATAAAATATAGTTCCATTAAGAACCCTAATGATTATGTTTTTAAAGAATCATAGAAACTTTGTGGGTCCATGGTGAGACACAGTAATTGGTCAGAGGCTCCAGGTAACTGATAAAATATATTTATGCTGATGGAAATTTTATTTATCACCATATTTATGTTGAAGCCCAACTGGCATAGAATTCTGTAATGTGGTTCTAGTCTTGACCAGTAAGTCTGGAGAATTGCTATGGGACTAGACCTCTATGATCCATACGAGGGCTAGATGCAGTCACTTGCTTCAACCCAAAATTTCTCTTCTCCTCTCCAGGTATAAAAAGCATTTTGGGGGTAAAGTATCAAGAAATTGAAAAAAAAAATAAGCTTATTATTTTTCCCTGAGACTAGGAGACACTCTGAAATAATTTAGTGAGGGAAGAACGCATCCAAAGTTCAAGGGCTAAAGTTTGTTGGCAAAAGGTTCTTCTCTTGATCTTGAAACTGGTTCCTAACTATTCAAATACAATGAAAGCAGTCTGAAGGAATTATACTCTAGTAACTGTTTGGTACTTCCTGAAAGTTTTCAGTGTCAATCATTTTTTCTAGTACAATGACTGTTTATTCTCTCCATCTTCTTTTAATGCTTTCGAGGTCATTCAAAATATTGCCCATAGTATCTTTCAATACTGCAACACAGGTTTCAATTTTATTTTCAGCTCTTTGAGCTTGAGAAATGCAGAGCAAGTTCTTGCCTTTTAAGTCCAATTCCAGCTCTTTGCACATTCCATTAAAATACTTTGTATTCTCAAACTGCCCTTTGAAATCTTCTGTTCAGCTCTTTTACTTTGATAGTTTTTCGTTTTGGCTTCTCGTTGCTCCAAAGCAATCTTTAGAGTCTCTTCTAACATCCATTTCCATTTTTTCTTTATACTCTGTTTCTGTAATTACCTTTTGTTTTCTTCATGGATGACATCCTTGATATCATCCTGAAACTCATCTGAGCTTGATCGTGCTCATGCAGAACTTATACCAGGACCAGGAGTCTGTTGTGCAAACAGAGCAGGGGATCGCTGCATGGTTTGGAATTGGGAAAGGAGTGCGTGAGACCTGTATTTTCTCTCCATACCTATTCAATCTATATGCTGAGTAAATTACCCAAGAAGTTGGACCCTATGAAGAGGAATGTGGCATCAAGATTGGAGTGAGTGAGACACATCAATAATCTTCGTTATGCAGATGACACAAACCTGCATGCTGAAAGTGAGGAGGACTTGAAGCTCTTCAAGGAATGCAGCCGTCAGTATGGATTACATGTCAATGTCAAGAAAACAAAATTCTTACCACTTGACCGATAGGCAGACTCATGATGGATGGAGAGGATATCAAAACCTTCAAAAGCTTTATCCTGTTTGGATCCATAATTAACACCCTTGGTACCAGCAGTCAGGAAATAAGGAGACATACTGCACTGGTAAAATCTGCAGTTAGGGACTTCTCCAAATTATTGAGGAGTAATAATGATGTCTGAGGACTAAAGTGCATCTGATTCAGACCATGGTCTTTCTGATTACTTACTATGCATCTGAGAGCTGGACAATGAATAAGGATGACAGAAATAGAATTGACGTCTTTGAGCTGTGGTGATAGAGAAGAGCACTGCACATTCCCATGGATGGCCAAGAGAATGAACAGATAGGTCTTGGAGATGGTACAGCCAGAGTACTGTTTAGAGGCAAGAATAATGAGGCTTTGTCTCACATACTTTGATCATGTTGTTAGGAGGTGCTATTCCTTGGAGAAGGACATGATGCCGGGAAGCATTGAAGGTCGGCAAAGTAGAGGAAGACCCTCAATTAGGTGGATTAACACAGTGATTGCTGCAATGGGCTCGTGTGTCAGTAAGCGTGAGGATGGTGCAGGATAGAGCAGGATCTAACAGGGTTCAGATCTTTTGTTCATAGGGTCGCTATGAGTCATTCTTGACAGCACCTAATAACAACAACTGTTGAGTGGATGATGCTCTGTAACGGCTGGCCAGTATTGATCACCCTCACAGCTGTCATCATTCTCCCTCTCTGTCACAAGCATGTGTCTCCTACAAATCTCACAATGACCACTGTAGAAGTTTTGAAATTAGATCCACAGTCATCCTTAATTGTCAATGTTTGTCAAACAGAGGATTTTTGCTGCACTAGAGAGCTTTAAAAGATGCAAAGTATATAAAGTCCTGGTAAATCCTTGTGTTCACTATTCTTCTATGATAATTACATCTCATTTTCTTACTGACCTAACTCCTTGTAAGCTGAATTAATATTCGATGCTTCCAATAACTGCTGCATTCTTTATCACAGTCCATGTGTTACAGATCTATTAACATTTGGGCTATCAAAATTAAGTCAGAAAACGTACAGTAACATTTCCAAATTATAAATTATTAATAAGCAGAATGATATTAGAAAATGTAGCTTTCCTGATAACACTCACAAATCAATCCTAAAAGTTGATAAGAGAACCTAGGAAAGAAAACTTTCATTTTCTTATTTTAAGGCCATTTTATTCTTCTTTTTCTTTGGAAGCTCATAATGTAAATTATAAGGAAAATCTGTAATGAAAAGATATTTAATGAAATTCATCATGTACCTTATCTTATTATTCAACAGAGAGAATTTCACAGTTGAACCATTTAAACTCTGTAATTATGTAACACGATGCTTACAAAGCAGGTATTACTAAACGAGTACAATTAAGCAAGCTGGTGGTGGCGGCAGCTTGGCAGGGGACCGGGGGGTGGGGGGACTGGTGGAGACGAGAGCTAGTCCAAAACAGAAATGCAAGCTGCATAGCATGATTATGACATTTCAGGAAAAAAAGAATCCGAAATTTTATTAACATGCAGAACACTGAAAATCAGCTTGAGAAAATTTGAAGAGATTAACTGAAAAAAATAATCCAATGGATTGCAAAAGAAAATCATCTTCTATTCATTTTTAAGGCATTTGGACTCCCCCCCCTTTGAGGATTAACTAGGTAGTCATTTGGAAATCTAAGCTTTTAAATTTTATTTAAAACTTTTTTTAATAATATTTTTAAATTTTAAATTTTATCTGACTATGGAGAAGGCATAGGGAAGCAGATGTTAATATGTCAATTGCTATTATTTCTATTATTTACATTATCAATGACTCAGTCACTAATCACATTGTCCTAAATACCCTGTGTAGAAAATATCAATAGAAAGGCAATAATTAATAATCTAAACTATTTTAATTCAGTCATGATAAGTGGATGAGAGATATACTTTCTTAGAAGAAAAAAATTGTCAAGTAATGCTACCACACTACTCTCCTATAAAACTTTCTGGCATCATACAGAAAGTCTTTGTGGTGTTCAGGTTCTCATACTGACTCTTAATGCATGTGAGGCAGCCAAGTATATTAAACAGCTTACTCCCTATTATGAACTAACTCAAAGTTACACTAGAACCAGAAATTCGGCTTTCTAATATCACAAAATAGACACCAAATGACTGAAGTGGATGAGGTTAGGTTTCCAGATAATTTCAACTCTACCCCAAACAGATAGTGGTCGGGGAGGTGGAGGGGAAGGCCTGAACAATTCTAAAATCTCCTTGGCAAAAGCCACCAAAACATCAATTGTCAGTTGCTTTGGAAGTCCTGACTTCTGTGATTTTGTACATCAGATTGCCAGAGTACAAAAAAAAAAAAAAAAGGAAAGGAAGAGCAATGATGCTCTATACATTGAAAGCACAGTGAAGGAAGGCTCCAGGTTTAAAGAGCACAGAGAATCAGCACCAGATGGAAATCCTTGCCGGTTGCTTCACATGCTCAAGATGCTGAAGACTGGCAATACTGGAGCTAGTTTCGACACAGAAGGGACATAACTGCAGGAAGCCGTGCAGGTGGAAGGAGCAGGCCACCTGGAGAATGCACGCTCACCCCTTGAAGGTACACTTGTGGCCTGATGATCCAGGGGTTGGAAAAGAGGCTGCTCATTGCCTTGGTCAAGAGGAGTTGGGTAGGAGTGTTCATCTTCACACCAGGAAGAAGGTAATAAGAGTCAACTTTGAACTGATGTCATTGTTAGCCCTAAAAATCTTTGTAAGTATATATTAAACAATTACATGAAGTTGTTGGAATTTTAAAAAGAAGAGTTTTAGATGATTTACAATACATATTTTCTGCTTTTTTTACTTTCATTTAATTTTTTTATTATAATTTTCCAAAAATCTCGCACTGCCATCTTTTTACCCAAGAAGATACACACACAAATGGAGAAACACACACACACACACACACACACACACACACACATTGTAACAATTCATATTTGCATAGTGGTTCTAAAATGATATGGAGATTTGAAATGATAAAGGCATGGTGATTTGAAAAATCATTGATGATTCAGTCATCAATAAATTAGGAAAAAAACCCTCTGATTATAATAAATCTTTTCTGTTTAGTGACCTCGGGGCCTTAATGAACTTGTACAATATAATTTGTTCAACAGTTTACAATACTAAAAAAATTATTGACAAATGTAACACTTCCAAAAAAGATCTTCTTTAAATAAATTGCATCAGAGATGAACAAGAATTTGCCTAAACCACATTTAGATAGCACTTAATTTGATTATAAAAGGCTTTAAGTAAAAAATGGTAATTGTTGAAATTATTAGTTTACCAAAATAAATACTGGAGTGAGAATCAAAGACTCAATAAAGCAATCACATTCTGTGGTTCAAGGCTATTATGCATTAGCAGGCAGGTAAACCTCCAATCAAATGAACTTTAGTTGCTGGGGTCTTTCAAAAGATCAATTTGCAGTCAACAACCTTAATATTAAGGATAAAGTGCTTTGTTGTGTTTACTTTCTGCTTTGTGGTTAACTTTCAGATATAAACAGTACACTATGTCTTATCAGTTGTGTTTTAAAACATACCAATTTTTTCCATGAGATGAGAAACTCAACATACTATGCATAAACCATATAATAGCATCAGCAATTAAGATTTGTACATAATTTTCTTTTAAAATTGTTAGAAACCATACTAGAAAAGTGAAAAAATATTCCTTTTCTTTCTGAAAACAAACCATAAGATGCTTGACATGCTTAAAGATTACTCCCATTGTAGAAGTTAATAAAACATTACATAAAATAGTATCATTTCAGGGTAGTCAGGGGAAAGAGGGCTTAAATATCTACAGAAACTCAAGAAGGGGAAAATACTCATGAGTAAAATTACTGAAGAAACGTTGGTAGGGAAGAGAGAAAAGCAATCAAGAACAATCAGACATTTGTATTAATTTCAATTACTATGAAATGTACCACGTGCCTTGTAAAGTATAGCAATGATCAGTCTCAATCTGTGGTTGTGTATCTGAAGTAAACAACAAACAAAAAAATAACACCAAACCCAGCTAATTACGACTTACAGTGACCCTACAGAACAAAGCAGAACTGACCCAATTGAGTTTCCAAGGCTATAGAGTAGAAGAAGCCTGCCACATCTTTCTCCCACAAGGAGCAGGGAGGTTTGAATTCCCAACCTTCTCTTAGCAGTTGTGTGTTTAAACATGACCACCGGGGATACATATCACATGTAAGTGTAGAAAATAAAAGAAAATGGTTCAGAGAAAAGTATAAGTCACCATCATGGGATTTGCATGAAACTTGTGACAAGGCTGTTAAAGTAAACCAGTTTCAAAGTGCAGCTAGCCCTGCTATACTGGCAGCTCCCCAGGCAGCATTAAAAGCTCTCCTTAAGTACCAAGTATTCATAGTGGTGACTCCACCAAGCCTGTTTCCAGGAGTTATTTCTTACCTCACTTGCAAGAGAATTTGCAGGAAATTCTTGCTTATATGAAAACCTACTTTGAATCAAAAGCTCATTTCCAGTCCTAGGAAATTATTTCAAATATACCTTTTCACATGCCTCTCCTAGAGAAAATGGAACTAGTCTGATTTTCCATATTTTATTTTCCTGACGTGTTTTCTTTGTTTTTAAAACTTGTGGGCCAGATTATTTTTTTAAATTAATGTTAATTTATTTCACTGATATAGACACAATTTGCCCAAAGAAATTTTATGGAAACACTAAGCAGATTTCAGGCTAGGGCAGGGCTCAGATCTGTTGCTCCTCGAGTCACTATGAGTCATAGCTGACTTGATGACACCTAACAACAAGAGCAACAAGCAGCTCTCACAGGATTCCCAGTGAAGTGCTTGGCTACGAACTGTAAGGTTAGTGGTTTAAATCCACCTCGAGGTACCTTGGCAAGATGTAGTGATATACTTCTGAAAAAATCATAAACATTAAGGTCTCTATGAAACATATGGGGTTGCTTTGAATCAGATCAATTAGTTAAGTTAGCTTTCACACTTACCCAGGTCACTCTCAGCAGCCACTCAAATCTAACCAGGCTTTCGGTCCTTGGATTCAGTCTAAGGTGCTAGACCACAGAACTCTTTCAAGAACAATTAATGGGTTAACTGATAGTTAATGTGCACCCAGGTGCAAACCAATTTAACAGTAGTTTCTTCAGGAATTCAGAAATCAGGTACTCATCACAAAGGTTGCATCAGCTCTGAATGAACATAAACCTTTTTATCAGGATCACTGCTTTTTTTTTTCTAATATGGAGGCCAAAGTTAAGAGATTATTAAAACACGTATGTCTGTCCTCATCTTCAGTTTTATGTTCAAGATGATATGAGGTATTTATTACATTCTCAGTGTCTGAATAAATTCTACAAGTACGAAAACACATTTCCTACTACTGAAATCTTCCCTCTGAGGAATATGGTTTTGGAAAGCAACATTTTAACTCAGTATATGCCAACTTTTTTTTAGTGAAACAGCTATGTGTTACAGGCCATAGTCTGTGGGAAACAGGTTTTTTTGAAAATAAAAGCTACCAGTGAGGATCTTCATTTTGATTGACAATGTTAGGATCTTTGATAAATACTAAAGTTCAAGTAGGAAATAAATCTAAATTATTTTCCCTACCATCTCAAATACAGATTCATATTATAGCTCTCTTTATATAATGTCCTGGCATTGATACTGCAGAGTTTACAATGCTGGGATATTAATGAAACCTCTGATGGTTTTATTTTCACCACTTTACAAAAACAGAAGTATGCTGGGATTCTCACAAGAACCTTGAGAATGCAAGAGCCAGATCCTAACATGCTTCCATAATGGAACTTAGGCTGAGAAAGAAAAGCAAATTAGTTTTAAAAGAGTAAGCTGAAATTATAAAAACACCATTATTTCAAAAGGATGTCCCAGGTATACTCGGTTAAAAAAAAAATCCTTGCTAAATAATTCCAAAAAGCAGCACTGGAAATGCTAGTTATAAAGCAAGTATCAGATAACACAAGAACACATATGGGATTAACAGTTCATCCTACCTATTTACATGTTACATTTTAATAAAATATATTTCATTTGATAGTAGTCAGCAAAAATCAGATGAACTTTCAAATATCAGTGTTCTGGAATGTTGAAAATACGTTTATAAATCACTAGTTTACAAGACACACTTTAAGGAGTATCCAGAACTAAATACCAGATGCTATGAAGCAGGAGTGTTTCAACAATATTTCTTTGTAATACAAGATCAAGTGTCTTATATTTAGATTCTACATTATGATTTTACTTGACTTTGAGAAGGAATGATTTTCATTTTAGAAATAAGAAAATTTCTTGGCGAGGGCTGGGCAGGGAGAAAAGTGCAACAATGAATGAATGGAAATCCAAAATCTCTGTAAATGTTCATTAAAATGAATAAAATAAAATAAAAACCAAAAAAATTCAACTGTTTACTCCTTTCATCTTTCTAGTTATATCTGACCCTAGCCTTCCTTTATTTCCTGGTTTAGTGGTCCTATTGATAGAAATTTCAAGCTAAAATAAGTTATAAAGTGAAGACTTGTTGAACTTATTAGCATGAGCCATTCTCAATTATATTTTCTTCACCTACAACTCATATGGTTGGGGGAAAAACATGGCTATATAAATAATAGCCCTACATTGACCAATGACAGATCGATGCTTTTTTAGCATCAATTCTTTGAACTTAAGAAAGGCATGTCACAATTTCAAGCTTCAGTAATTTCCAATGAAAACTGGAATAATAATTAGTAAGTTATTATATGTAACTTAATTACAAAAATAACACTCTATCTCTGAATGTTATTGCAAGGATGAAAATGCATAATATATGTAAAATATCTGAGACACAGAGAGTATTAAATAAATGCTTGCCTTAATAGGAAACTGATGTCAATAAGCATAATTACTAAATGAACCGGTGTTTTCTTTCTCAGAGGAATGTTTCAAACTGGTCAGCTATTGGAGGGAGATTTAATAACGGAATCAAAGTTCTCAGATTTAAAAGAGCCTTAGAATTTCAAATCAAGCCTCCTGCCTGACTTCTGGTTTTAAAAGGATTTTATGTAAGTAGTTACTGAGGTTCAAAGAGGTTAACAATTTGCCTAAGGCCACCCAATGAGTTTGTGGAAGAACGCATGGAGTGCCTAAACTGGAATAGAGACCTCTTCAAATGCATTTTTTTTAAGAAAACATATTTTAATTTGTTTTAGGGAATTAAAAAAAGTTGACTTTTTATTATATTATGATGAAAACCATTATTTATAATTTTCACATTTTTATCTAACAAGAAAAAGGGTAGCTCTTATATTTGAGAAGAGTAGTTATAGAGAGTAGTTTGGGGAAATTTATGTTTTTTAGACTTAGCAGGAACAGAGACAGCTCATGATTCCATATTTATGTCTGACTGGTCGCCTACCTTGATTGCAGGTTTTTCCGGCATATCCAGGGTGACACTTGCACTTGTTTGGTCCGACACATTCACCATGTTTGCACTGTGGTTGACACACAGCTGTGAAAAGAGGACATCTTGTATTATTTCCAAGGAGACAGCACATCAATGTTATTTTATCTCTGCTACATATTAGTTTGATAAAAGAGAAAAAGAAATAACAGAGCAAATTGACAAAAACATAAAATTACTATTTTTGCAACGGTAAGTTCTGTACAAACTATCATTGCACCCTTTGAAAATGGGAAAAAACCTCACCCCCATGACTCAGCTTTGAGCTAAACAACGGAGAGGTCTATGAGGTGAACAATAACAGCAAGAAGGTATTCACTCCTTAGAATCATCCATCATGTACAGTCAAAACGGCAGCTTTTGACCAGGGTTTAGACTCAGAAGGCAGGAGGGAGTACAATAGAAGGATTGATGGAAACAAAAATCACAGGGAGGAAGTGGGGAGAGTATGATGACAGTGGATATTGTAATTAATATTGAAAGAAAGGTAGGTGTGATGGTTGATTAGGAAATATATCTGCTTTGTAAACTTGGACTCAATTCATACTAAAAAAAGCAGTTCTTTTCCATTTGTATTGGATATGTACGAGATCCAGTTACATTTCAAGTTTAAGTATAAAAAAGTGGTGTATTAGAATTAATATTGCTAAGGTTGAAGTGATACAAAGTGAAATAAGCACTGAACTTCAATGGTGTTTGAAATTTCAGCTTATTTTATTAATGAATTATGAATTTTATTAAATTTTAGAATATTTCTATCATTGATCATTCTTGACTCCAAAGTTTATCTCTATTGCTCATTATCAGTCTATAACGGCTTTCTAGCTTTAGTACACTAATATAAAGTACAAAGTTCTGTTTCACACACAAAACTCCATCAGCCAAATTCTGTTACCCTCAAGACTTCAAAACGCTTTCAAGTCAGCTCTCATTCTTTCACAGATTTTCCTAATCTGTCCAAGTACCAGATGAATATTCATTCTATTTCTTGTATACCAGTGATTTAAGATATTACAATATGATAGATTACTAAAAAAAAAAAAAAGGTTTGCATATTCTGTTTCAACAAATGAACTGGGTATGTGTTTGCTCCACAAAGACATTTGACAATATCTGGAGATGTTTTTGGCTGCCATTTGAGAAAAGGCACTACTGGTAGCTAGTAGCTAGAAGCTAGGGACACTGCTGTACCCTAAAACGCTCACACAGGCACTCCCACAACAAACTATCCAGACCAAAATGTCATGGCACTTGCTTATAAATTGATAAATTTTGCTTTACTATAAGTATTAGCCCATGTACTATGAGAGATGAAAAAATAGTTCTCTAACATGGCCATTGGTCTCAAGAAGTTTACACTCGGTGATGAGAGAAAACAATCACATATTTTTATTCAAGCCAATACTTAATTATGGTTAAAATGGATAGCACCTATGTGTGAAGAACTTGTTCAATAAGAAAATACATATGGATTTGTACAGAAAGTCTTATCGAAGAGGACTGAGCTGGATTTTAAAGCCCGGGTATAAATACAAATGGGTATATGAACCTGGAGAGAGGATGAAAGACACCCAAGTGTTGAGGACTCTCCTTCATAGGGTCACTATGAGTCGCCTGTGACTAGACTCAACGGCACTTAACAACAACAACATCAACATAGAGAGAGAGAGAGATCAGTTGGCCCAGTGGACAGAAAGCAATGCTACCATGCCAAAAATGGGTGACTTTTAATCCATGGCCCTAGGGCCTGTCTTTCATTGTTTTTGTTCAGACATTCCTCTAGGTCGTATAGCCCTGGTGTACAAGTTGCAGTACAGCAGTAACTTGTGGTTGCTGTGAGGCTGAACACTGTGACACTGATGTGTCAAATCCGTTAATGGTTGGCTACCCAATGCGGACAGAGAGTGGGGTGGAGCTCCCTGATTAAAACAAGCTTGGAAGGAGGAGTGGCATCCACTTCTATAATAGCTTGCCTCAGGAAATCCTATGAACCTGGAGAGAGGATGAGAGACACCCAAGCATTGAGGACTCTCCTTCATAGGGTCGCTATGAGTTCACTTGCGACTCAACGGCACTTAACAACTTAACAATAACAACTATAAAGCAAGGGAGAAGAATATCCTAGCTGAGGATAATTGCACATCAAGTTAGGCCATCATTTATTTAGAAGACACTGCAGAAAAAAGCTTTATCAAGCTAAAAGTAAGAGGCAGACAATCAGAGGTGAGTCGTAGTGAATGATGATTTCCATCCCCCCCTCCTCCGTTCCAGACTAAGGAACATACACTTAACTGTATGGAAAGTTCTGCAAGTTTATGATCACCTGGAGAATTATCTTATAAAAATTAAAAACTCTAGGTATCATCCATGGTGATGATACAAAGGATGACATGAGAAGAGTCTAGAGGCAAAGGAAACATTAAAGAAGGCCAGTGAAGCCATCCAGGGCAGACTTCACACCACAGAGGCATGATTTATGTCAACAAGAGAAAAAGATAGCTTCACTAACCAGCTGTAAGTACCAAAGGGTAGGGGTCAACAATGACACTAAGTCTTGAAGCCTCCAACATCTGCTCATTCTACTAGTTAATGCTATTCTCCAATCTAGGGTATGATTCCAATTTCCTGACTATTTTTAAACACTGTTTCCTTCCAAATGTTCAAAAGGGGAAGGGGAGAGGGAGAAAAAGTGGGAAATGGGAAAGGGTGGGGATCAAAGGGATAGGAGAGTTTAGTGGGTAGATTGGGGGGGCAGTGTAAAGGAATGGGAATGACTCGAAGAGAAGAGGTGATAATAAGCAAAGATCAATGGTGATTGTATGAAATATACTGTCTATGAGTGATTGTATGAGGCACCATGTAAATGAAAGATTGTGTGAAATAGTGTACATAAATGAAAATGTTGTTGTTGTTGATTGCCACCAAGTCGAGGATGACTTATAGTGACCCTATGAACAAAAGGCCTGAAGCTTTTCTGTAACTATCATCATTTATCAAAGTTCACAATGTTTCCAGAGGCATTTTATGTAAAAAGTGAATGCCACTCCTGCTTTCAATAAATGAAAATACAATTAACATTCTTGTGAAATGTATGCTAGTTTTTTTTTGTTTTCTCACTGACTCTCAGTAACTTTCCTCACCACAGGTTTTATCTGCCAGGTTTACTTTCTAGGTCTTTCTCACTTGTTTGCTTGTCACCCAACAGGGATCCTGCATTCCTACTAATCTTTAGTGCCATTCAGTAGTTTTTAATTGAAACACCTGCAACAAGAATGGATGAGCAGAGTGTAAATCATACAGAAATTGTACTTGAAAGACTCTTAAAGTCTGATTTCAGGAATGCCTTCAAATTTAGAGTCAATTTTGTTCAGATGTGTGAAGTGAATTATTACACAGGCAGGGCTTACACTATTACTCGTCAACTGATTATCTATCTGATAGATTATTAAATGTAGTCTTAAAAATATGGCCTAGAAAAAAATATTTATGAGACTTCTGGCATCTGTAACAAAGAAACAAAAATTTTTAAGGTATTAAAAAAGTTTAAAGTGTTCCATAAATATTTATTATACATCTGAATATACTCTGAATAAAGCAAGCATCGCACAAGGATGTATTATAAAAAGTAAATCTTTCAGAATACTTAAATCCAAGTCATATTGTCTAAACGTCACTCTGAATAATTTTTAGAACTGGAAAGTATCTCTTAAAAACATGAAAAACATTTATTTAGAAAAGACACTTTAGGAAATGATTAAACATGAGAGTCTAAGGCTGTACAGGCATTTATTTGAATGAACCCTCTGACCAAATTTAATGACCATTCATTTTTGTGCATTTAGGCATTTAATGGAACAAAAGTTTTTCTGTGCCCCTTCCCTCTTCTCTTACTTTTTTGGTTGTTTGCTCTCAGTGGTGTGCCTAATCTTGGGCACATCAAATGTACACATACCAAGAGGTCAAGGCTGTCAATGTTTCTCACATGTTTACGGAGTAGGTATTTTAAAACAAATTGCTATTTGTACTCTGACAATCAACTCAAGTAACTAACCACTCTTGGAATAGCCAACAGCTATTAACTGTGATAGGATATTCAGAGAGTCAATAGGGTTTTTTTTTGGGGGGGGTTCCTTTCTTAGAAAATGTGGACTCAAAAAAATGCTATACAATGATTTTGTTGGCAGTATGTCTGGAATTAAATTACATAAGTATGTTTTGAACACTTTGTGCATACAAAAGTGTTATACCAAGTGAGTATGGTTGAGGAGAGAATCACAGAGAAGAAAAAAATAGTAGAAGAGTGTGTCATAACTGGCTGCAGGACCCAGAAAGGCCTCACGTAGAAACTTCAATCTGAGGAACATTTTAGGGGTAAGAGGATGGGGAATGGCAGGAGGCGGGGGGAAGGGAGCAGAGAAGCCTTTCAAAAATGAGCAAAAACATACAGAGTGGAAGAGGAAAGGATGAATGCCAAGTATGCTGGTGGAGCTCCTGTGCAAAGTACTTATAACAACAGTTGAGGTTGAAAGAAAGGCCAGAACCAGATCATAAAATGCCTCAGTAGCAGAAACTGCTAGACACTTAACAATATTTCACTTCCTTTCTTCTTTTCCATGGTTTTCCCCAGCACCACTCTTAAGTTCTAAATGACTTGGCAATGTAAAACTACTTTTTTCTACCTCTCTGGTAGGTATGGGTGGCCATGCGACTAAATTTTGACCCACGTTATGTAAGCACAATATGTGCTTGACCTGTGCCGTCCAGAAATGCATGTCCACCCAGAACCTGTAAATGTGACTTTATTTAGAACCAATGTCCTTGCAGGTTTAATTATGTTAAGATGAGGTCATGCTAGGGCGGGCCTGAATCTTGTATGACATGACATGAGGTGTCCTCATGAAAAGTGGGAAATGTGAACACAGATACACAGGATAGAAGATTATGTGAAAAATGAAGAGAAAGAAAGGCTGCATCTATGCACAAAGGATTTCAAGGTGGGTCAGCAGACTCCAGATTTTAGAAGAAGCAGAGAAGGGTTTTTTCCTCTA